AAGGTCTTCACCTTTCTTTCCCTTTTCTCTCTGGCCTACTACATCCTCCCGACGAGTAGGGTAATCTCTTCTAAGGCTTCCTGAATTTCTTTCTCTGTTCTCTGTTCTCAAGCTTCTTGCATCCTGGCGCAAAGAATCCCATATCCTCTGGCGGCGCTGGCTCACAGTTGAAGATTGAGATTGCGATTGAAGGAATGACTGCGTCATCATCAAAGAAAAATGCTCAGCAAGTTCATCATGCTCTCACAATACTCAGGCGTTAACCATCTACCTCCTCTTTTCAGCAAAGTGGTTCTCATCAGCTGTGGCGAAACCAACAACTTTTTTAAGTCAATAAGCTTCCAACTAACAGTCCATGCCCATTGAACCTCCAACCGGATTCTTTCTCCAAAGCTTCAGGTACTTGCACCTCCAAGCATTTCTCATCTTCATCTCGAACGACTCTAACGCTTGAATCTTGAACTGAAAAAGAGCGATTCTGTAGGTTGAGTGGTACCTTCAAGTCACCATTCCCCAACAATTGCTCTCTGCTATTGATTCCCCAATCCATCAACCTTCCATAACAAAGTATGGGCTGACTCACCTTTGAACTGAAAATCACATTCTCTTTGAGAAGAACTTCTCATCCATCAAAAGGAAATTTCAACACTTTTCGAGCCTCCCATGGGAATACGATTTCCTTGTGCATCTTGTATCGTAGTTCTCCTTCCCAATCATCTGCCATACTCAAAGGGAATAATGCTACATCAGCTCCACTGTCGATAATGATGGCCACATCCTCATTCTCTTCCCCAAGTAACCTCACCATGGGCTCATCATCTGAGATGTCAATCTCCTCAACTTCCTGGAATTTTGGCTCATCATCATCATCTCCAATGTAGAAGTGAACAACTCGATGCCTTAATCTTCTAGCTCATCATCTCCTTGTCTCAAGTCGAAAATGTTGGCTCACTCCTCTCAATTCTCCTGGCCACTGGTTTGGCCTCTGCTGAGCTACCTCGTTGGCTCAAATTGGCACGCTGGCGACTAACTGTGTGAGTTGTCACGAGTGCTCCTCCTGAAGATGAATGGGCTTGACCACTTGCTACCTGTCAAATATGATTCCTCCAACAACCTTTAGCAAGATGTCCTGGCTGCCCACAAGCGTAACACGTTGCCACACCTTTGCCTTGACCTTTGCCCTTGTAATCACCTTCCTTTCCTTTCTGGTATCCTTTTCCTTTCCTTCCTTTGCCCTTAGCATCTTTACCTTTACCTTTCTGATGGTCATTCTTGCCCTTCTTACCTTTTCCTTTGGCATCCTGGGCCCGATCAACCTCCATTGGCATATGCCCTTGATAGTCTGGATTTGAGCTGTCCACCTACACATCTCAAAAGAATAGCAGATTTCAACTCTTCCTGAATTGTAGTACCTGTCTCATCAAATACCTCTCCAAGCTTCAATAGTTGAGGTTGTAGTGCACTGTTCATTGAAAACGCTGGCCATGTAGTGGCTGCCCCACAGAGTGCCAAGCCTCTTGCCTTTGAGCTGGGCTTCAAAGCTTTATTCAAGCTCCTCCAAGCATCAAGCCCATTGGAGTCTTCCACAGCTTTCACCAATTGCAGTGCCCTTCCTCCCATCAATGAAGCCAACAACCCATAGAGCTTTGCTGTGCCTCAGTTGGCAAGCCGTAGCCCTCATCAACTGCACTCAGGTATTTCTCAAAGACCCATTACCACTCTCTGAGTGCCTTGATCTCTTCTTCTTGTGACTTGTAGTCAAAGATATTTGGCTTTGCTATCAACTTTGACCAGTCTGTAATTGATGACTTCTTCTTACCCTCAACTGCTTTCTTCACTGCCTCAGCTGCTGATGTTGTTGCTAGCGCACTCTGTGCTGTAGTCTGAAGGATTTCTCTGATCTCCTCCATCTTCTCCTTGTACTAATGTCTCTTGGACACAATGTACTGGGTACAGCGTGTTGCTTACAACAATTATTCACCAGTCCAGCTGTTTGGGTTCGAAAGGCCCAAGCCTATGGCTCTAAATCGCACCCGGGATCCCAGCGACCTAGGGGCTTTTCACTCAGAGCTCGAGAGGGGTTACCTCCTTCTCAGCTCCGCTACCATACGCACTTTTCCTTGATACGCAAAAGGGCTGCAGTAGGGTCCATGATGTTGATTCTGCTACTCATGTACACATTGATCTGCACAGAAAATGGTTCGCAATAAACAATATTCATCTTGACATGTCTTGCAACAAGAAGCCAGCCTCATCAAAGCGTGATGACGTATGCTTCAAAGCCTCCATAAAAGAGCCCTGCCCACGCCAAGCGGATCCAAAAATCATCAACAAGCAAGTCAGACTCAGATCAAGCCACCAAGCCTCCAACAAAGAATGCAGTTGATTGCCGAACCTTGCACATCACTCTCATATGATATGCCCCAAAATGGTTTGAGCTCTTTTTGAGCATCGGGCTCTTTGGGCTCTTGAAGCTTTTCGTTGGACCCTGCCTCCAACCAAACAAAATTTAGAAAGACCTTGATGCAAACCATGTGGACAAGGTGAACAAATGAAACGACGCAAACAAGTGAGAAAGTACTGCACACTGGACTAATTATTGGACAAACTACCCATGGCGTGCCAGCGCACGAAGAGCTCTGCCAGCTCGTTGCCCTGGCGCAGGACTCTCATTGGGCAGCTTCAAAGTTTACAAAAAAAAGCATGATGGAGTCGCCCCACAAGCAAAGCCTCAGGCGTTAGAACAGGATGCGGATAAACTGCTTGGTTTCACAAAGCTCTTTAAGATAGGGGCTCTTCCCTGGTTCGGCCAAGCCATTGCATCATGGCCTCAATGACTCGTTGCTTCATGATATATCATGATATCACATTCACTCGTCCCAAGGCAGCAACCGAAACACCATGGCCGTGCGGCCCTGACCTCTTCGAGAGAAATTGTAACTGTGCGAAAGTCGAGTGATTCCGTGCTCCCAGGAAGCCTATAATATGACACAGGGTCCGGGATCCTTGAACGCAAGCCTAAGCCAATACAACGTATGCAACACAAATCGAAATCGACGCTCGCCTGGAAGAGTCAACAAGTTGCTGAAGCTCCAATAAGGCCTGCCATAGAGTCATGGAGTAGACTGCTTTTAAAAAAGATTCATGTCCTGGGCCTGAAGCATGCGACGAAGGAAAATGGAGAGGCAGGACAGATTGCTGCTGCCTCGAAGTACTTCAGGGAACAAAACCTTGATCTTTATGATAGACATTATTTAAGTCATTAAAAGGTTCACTATGTCAAGCTGTCCACTATGTTGAGCTATGAAGCCTGGATTTCTCGCGCTATCAGTGTCATCGTCCTGCATACATATAGATATTGGCAAGTTGGACTGCCCCAGATTGCGACACTTTTAATACGTTCTCCTCAACACGAAGCTCTGCCCGCAGCTGCAAGAGTGGCTGCTGAACCTCAAGAAAGCACACACACTCTTTGATACTCATTAAAACATAATAAAACATGATATGTCACGGTCAAAGTTAAATGATGTTAAATGCATGCAGGGGTGTTCTCTAGAAGACTTCAAAGTGTCCGATTGTTTTCAAAAGGCTTGGCGACATTAGCCGAAAGCGAGCGCTGCAGAAAGCTCAACCCAATCCGCAAAACCCAACGCATGTTGCCCATCCTCTTGGCTCAAGACCAAAAGGCCTATAGCATCTGGAAGGTCGAACAGCCACGGAGCCTGAACAAAATAAACACTGAGCTCAAGGTCTGAAAGTGCCCCAAAGCCCAAAGCCGAAGCTTTCAAGCCTGAAGGCTGAAGCTGCTGTCAGCCCAAGGTGCGGAGCCACGACCTTTGGTAGCTGCAACCACTACATCCACCAAGAGTCTGTTCAATTCAAGCTGTCAACGCAAAGCGGGATTGGGCCACCACTTCCACTTGGAGCTGAGGCCTCGAAGAACAGTCTTGAGACTTCATTGCATTACCGTCTCTCGCTAGGCCAGAACGGTCGAGGCTTCTCTTCTCCTTTGCCTAGGCTGAGTTGGCATGCGTGCATACAAAAAAAGAACTGTCCACAGGGGAGGATTCCAAATAGTTTCATTCTTGGGGTTGGTCTATTTCCCAAAAAATGGGGTTGTATCTCGTGCGGGCGGGCAGTGTGTGGGTGTGGGTGTGGGTGTGTGGGTGGGTGGGTAGGTCTCCAGCATCATCCCATGAGGTGCCCTGTGAAAGGATTCCTCACACACCTGCCGCTCGCAACTTTAGTTTGACTCAAAATCTAATTAGGGACCAAATGGATAGAGCATAGAAGCGTGAGCTATGCTGCGTCCATGCGCTAGTAGCTGCTTAAGCTACTAGCTACCTCTAGCTACTACCTCTACGGCCTACCCCCTCCCCCCAAAAAAAGAAGTTATATTATATGTATTTTTTCGATCCAAGTGGTTGCGAGCGGCACATTCGTGCTCGAAGGGCGGCGAGCGCCCGGGGTACTTCCAGTCCTGGCAGAACATCAAACCTCTGCTAACTTATTTAGCTGAATACGTATCCATGTTAGAAGAGCCATGTCAAACCTGAAGGCATCTTTATGCATTGTTGCTTGGGGAGCGTGTGGTGCGGGCCATCCCTCAGCAGCCACCGTATGGACGAACAGAACTTGCACAACCTAAACTGAGTCAAGTCGGCCTAGCGGCTGCAGCAGGTGCCTCGTTGTCAAGGAACCAACGCCCCCAATGCACTCTTGCCATTTTCCATGTGGCTAAGCTCGGAACTGAACGTTGTATTGTGGATTTCGGGTTCGCATTGATTTGCATATCGAGAAGGCACCCCAAGGTTTGACTGTAACAGGATTCGATCTCAAGCCGGTACATTTGATCTGTCCAAATGTTGACCGTTGGCCCCTAAAATACTACAGTGAAAGCAAAGGAAATAAACTAGAGGCTGCTTTGGTTGGGTCTGGCATTAAATGCTTTTCCATGGACTGATCTTTGAGCAACAACAGCAGCAGCAAAAATACAACAGTCAACCAGTAGCTCTGCGACTCTGCATGGCCAAGCAAGTGACGGCCTGCTCCACCTCTGTAAGGTGCAAGCGCACCTGCCTCGCAGGAAACGACGGTAGTATCAAACTTATGAAGTCTCAAAGCACCCTTGACTTGCTGTGACTTCCTGTATTTGGACATGTTGGATTGGCTGGTAGCCGACTTTTGTTTCCTCCAGGGCACATCGCCAGCTTGTAGATCACAGCCACCAAATCGGCCTGCAGGCGTGTGCCCACTATATATATCAGTTTCAGTTGCAAGAGTACAAGTCCAGCTACTTATATAACCTCATGTATTGGTTTGCCATTAGTTGAATTGAAATATTTGAAGCACAAGAAAAGTAGGTCATCTGAGTCATCTGTGATGGAAGGCCTTGCTGTCATGGTCATCTTTTGGCGGTGGATATACAGAGCCGAGGTCGTCAAAAAACAACGCTTTTTCCTGAGGAGTCTAATTGATCAAACAAACAAGGATGCAGAAGAACCCTGTCCTTGTACATACGGAAAGCAGCGAAGCATCCAGAAGCAATCTGGTTGATTTTGTCCTCGTTCTTCTCAACAAACGCCTTGGGAACGAGCAAGTCCTCTTTGCCAGGTATTTCAGTCAGCTGGTGGCCTGTATCACGGAGTGGAAGCAGTCGTCAGAATCTATGGTCTCCTTCCATCTTCTGCAAACAGCACATTACAGCTGCAATAACACTCAAATCCTCAAAGCCATGCCTTCAAAGAAACCGCTGTGTCCAACGGATGCAAGTCTTTCTTCATAGTATATATATATATATTTAAAATTACTTTAACATATAAGGACTCTTTTCAGTTGGAGACCTTCTACAAATAACAAAGCCTTGTTGAGTGTCAGTGGCTTGACAACAAGTTGCGATGTGGCTGTGCTGTGGTGTCAGGCCTATACAAATTATATAGCTTCAAATCGCATACACAAATCTGGCAAATGCGCAGTTGCTGTGCTGACAATCTTCCTCCTGATAGTTTTAAACGGCCAACAATCAGGCTGTGCTAACTCTTTTTGGGGATTGGAGGCATCAATGGTAGTCAGCAATCCTGGCAATCCTCCAATCCGGCTGGCTGGGGATGGTTGATTTATTTGGACTATATACATTGTCAATATTGATCAATATTGTTGTGTGTGTGGCACCAAAAGCACCCGCTTTGATGGCTGTCTCAATTCACTTTCAAAGACCTGCGTGCGGCCTTCGACCAGTCACACCAGTCACTAGCATATATGGCAGCACAAAAATCACTGATACGACATTGTTATATTTATTTAAACCAAAACTTGATTCAAAATTGCAAAATACCAGCTGTTTCTATTTTTTCCTACCTGGACCTGTCACTCTTTCCCTCTTCACTTCCCTCGTCGCTTCCCTCTTCGCTTCCCTACTTCTTGTCCTCCTTGTCTCGAGGTGCTTTCGTCATTCGCCTTTGGCAACGAAAAGCTCAAAACAAGATACGCAGCTGCTTCACCGTCGTGAAACTATTAAACTGCTGGTGATTATGAAAAGTGTGTGCTGCATCATTTCATTGTGATTCACACTTTATATAGACATGCAATCGGTGTAACCGGTGTTACCGGTGTAACAGGCGTCACCGGTGTAACCGGTGCACCGAAAAGTTGTGGACACTGATTGCACTAGCAATGCACTTCTAGGTCCATTCTCTACCGGTTTTGATGACAAAATGATGCGTTTTTAACTTATTGTAAATCATGACAGGGGCTCTCCATGGCTCTCCTGATGTTTCAGGACCAAGAATATCTTGAATCGAACCTCCCTTGGTGTGACTCCAATGCGACATGAGTTATACGGTTATATATACGGTAGTCCATGAGTCCACCTTGAATACATTTTATGGAAACAACAGCGTTCAATTTCAGTTGTGGTCCGCACATTCAGCTAGCAAATCTTATTTGTTCTTCCGTTCCAAGTTCTTGGCGAAAGGATTGTCGTGCACATTAAAAGGAGATCGGCTCATCCGAAGTAACATGCCCCATGAAAGACTTAAGTGTGTGAGGAGCTGGATTCTGTGAATCCTAAACTGTTTGGCTGTGCATCACACCGTGCAAAGGCACCTGAAATCCGTCACAACGTGCATCGAGGCCGATTCTCTCTCTCTCAGCCTGACCCCCACTCCCTATTACAACAGAATACCACTTACCGCCATTTACGAATCATTATGATAAAGGGGCTTGAGCAAAAAAGACACCAAATGGGCTACGGTTCCAAAAACACAACGGATATCATTGACCCGGCCCCGTCAATCGCCCGACGTATGCGTCAAGGGTTTCAGACTGAAATGTTCACTTGGTTTTTGATGACAACTTCGTGGAGGCGAACCAGCCGCCTACCGAAGACAGCGGGCTTAAAAACATGACATGTGTTTGAATAGACTAATTCTATCTTTATACTTCTATTGGATTCTATTGGTATTTATTATGTACTGTATATACATTGACTTGGAAGAATATGCGGGAAGTATGAAGGAAGATGAAGGAGGTCAACTATGTCAACTACCACCGCAATCTCTAAGTTTCCCTTAAAATCTGGGAACCACATGAATAGTGCTAGCAATTCTTCAAGGAAGCTTCCCCCAGCCGCCATGAAGAAGCGTGAGCTATCCTGCGTCCTGTTGCTGGAAGCATCCTGAGAGCCAACTTGATTAAGTAGGCGGCTCCTTATTTAAGGGTAAGGAAGCTGTCCTCACTCGTCGTAAACTTCACTTTTGGACCGAAATCGGTAACGACTGCAACTGTTGTCGATCTTTGTCGCCTTCGCTCAATCTTGACTTTCTCTCCAGTGTTGCTTTGGTACTTGCCTGAGTTTCAACTGAACTTCAAGAGCTGTCAAGCTTTGGTTTTCACTTTACCAGCGCTACGTCTGCCAGACCAAATCGCAACATTCTGCAAACGGACATGGAGTCGTTGTTTGGAGCCGCACCAGTTTCACAAATTTCACGCAAAGCAAAGAAGCCTTCAGTGAGCTCAGCGCAGTCCTGCAAACTGCCAAATCGAGAATAATGAAGTTGAAGGTCTTCGAAGTTGGTAGCTGTGCCTGATAGACGGTGTAGCTTTTTAAGCTCTTTGCTGCTGACAAAGCTTTGAGGTCCTAAAGCAAACACACAGCCAGCTAGAAGTAGCAGAGCATCTTAATTAGGGGATGTCAAGAACTGGATCATGCCAAGACCTGTTTGTAAAGTCAAAACAACCAAGAACTACCATCCGTCCCTTCTTTAGAGGCGTATGTCAAGACTGTCATGACTTTGATGACGGATGAAATGTCCTCCAACTAGGAACTCACGCATACCCTATCATATGATTGTTTTGTTTGTCCTCGTCAGGAAAAAGAGCAGCACTCATCTCTGGCTTCATCATCGCAAGGACAAAGTGCAACATGTTGTGCTGACAATCCGTCAATGGACCAATCATCGGAGACACATATATTGACGATTAACTTTCTGTGTACGGAGAAGAGAATGGAAGCGCCTTTGGGGAAGCTGTCGATTTTGTCTGCGCCTTGCACTACAAAAAAATGATCACCTTTACCGCAATGCTCTGGCCTAGAATATTATTGTTCTTGCTGGTAGATTGTAAACCTCAGGATTAAGAGCTCCACCAATCGCTCCAAGGATACAATGCTGAATCCTTGTGGAGCTTGCGGAGCCTTGCGGAAAGGCCAAATTGCAAACTTGAAAAAATGCAAAAGCCTCTGAGGAAAAGACACCAAAGTCCCTGAGTCCTCTCAGTCGCGCACAAGGCAATTGCTGTTCAAGGCAGTCCCGAAGCGGTGAGCAATGTTGAAAAGCCTGGCAAGCAGTTCCTTGATGCCCCTTACTGACCCTTGGGGTATTGCTCATTCAACAAGTCACCAAAGTGATTAAGTGTGCCAAGGTGTGCTCACGCAAGCAACCCCGGTTGTCATTGACTGTCATCAAAGCCTGACAAAGCACGGACAGTCAGAACTGGTTTTGCTGCGTGTGAGCAAGGACACGACAAAAGACAGCCGTCTGAGGCGGCGAAAGACCTAAGCCCCCACCAAAAAAAATTGGGGGATTGGGGGTGGCTAAGGTCCTTTTAAAAACTTTTAAAATACAGTAGATTCTTGGGGGCCAACCGTGACAATACAGCTTCTGATTCATGATTTGGTAGACCCATGAGGGGGCTACCTGAAACAAATATAATGTCCAACCCTGACGTGTAAATGCCTCCAAACATGCCTGTCCATGACCTTATCCCAGGGGGCTAACGTCCAGAACCCTCCAGACCCCAACATACCAAGATCATACCCAAGAATGGGCAAGCACGACATCCTTTTCAGGTTTACTTGGTAGGAATGGGAAACTCTGACAGGTCAAATGTGGAAGTCCTTTGGTGCTGTGGAGTGGCAGTTCCTGGGCCACAGGCATTTTGTGGTAGGCTGTGGATGGGAGAGGTCTTTATATAAAGAATTCCCATAAAATAAAAACCACCCACCCCAAGCAAATTCACTTTAAGAAGGCAACACACAACCCTTAAAGTGATTAGACAATAGACATATTTTTAGTATTTCTGGTGGGGTCAGGTTGCCCTTTGGGGGGGCTGGACAACAAACAAATAGAATAAAATCTGCAATTCACCAACCTCCAACTGCACAAACCTGTTGTTGACCATGGCTTCCCAAATTATATCATTATTTGTTTGTTTCTGGAAAGGTTCGGTTTACTTGGTAGGAATGGGAAGCTCTGACAGGGCTGGCACGACAACTGAACAGTGACAATGGTCTCTGAGTTGAATGCATTTGTTTCTGTCATGTCACGTCTTGCGCCATCTTTTCAGAGAAAAGAAAAAAGTAAAACAGAAAAAACACAGGAAACACTGCATAATTGTCAAAATAAAATCTGTCAACATAAGTGAACATACATGGAAATAAAATCAGTCAGAGCTAAGGAAAACATGCACTTTATCCACACAGATTCTAATTTAGAATGTGTTGCCCTGCATGTGGCCCATGTTTTAAAATGATTTATGTGGAGCTAAGGTTCGTAACATGCCCACACAGACTTGCGCTTCAAAATAAAAGATCAATAGTTTTTTTTAAAACTGTGGTTGTGACCTCGCACAGGTCTTTTCTTGCTTGTGCCTTGAGCCAAAGCCCAAATGTTTGTGCGTGTCATCCTATGCAGGGGCGCCTGGCTTTCCCCAAAAGCATGGAATCTTGAAACTTGGTACACTTCTCAATGTGTACTCTCGATGAAAACGTAGCGTGATCGATCCTTCGACCACACTCCCCCTGGCTTCATCGAAGCCATCTCCACAAGGCAAAAATGGCTAGTTCAGCCACTTCACAAAAATATCCTCTCTCAGGCGTTCACCGCCTCATAGCTCCCGTCGGAGCTGCAGCTGCGATGTCATTCCGAATCTCCGCTCTTCTCTCCATGGTTCGGTCCTCCCAGGCCCGTTCACTGGCATCTGGGACGAAATTCCCATCCAGACTGGCACTTCATTTGGGTCAGGGGCCACCTGCTCATGTTCAGGATGATCAGGTCCCCTAGTCCTCTGCCATCTCTCTCTCTCTCTCTCTGAAGGTCAAGCCATCATGTCCGACATGTCCTCGGGCACCTTGGGACCAAAACCTATTCTCGTAGCCCAATTGGCGCGCATCCCGATCCATTGCATCCCGTGTTGAGCTCCGACTCGATGAACTCTCAATGGACTCTGTCGTAGGACCTCGCCTCACATATCGCACTTCGTGAAGCAGCTCCTCTGGTTGGCTACTACTCGGGGCGCTCGATTCCTCCACCAATGGCTCTTCTCTCGGCAGTTCCCCACCCGGCTGCTCCGCAATTGGCAGGGGTCTTCCCTCAGCGGTCCACTCACCTCCAACTCCACTCCTTCGGTCGCAGCCTCTGTGGCTCCCCCTAGGTTTGATCAATTGCACCCCGTGCTCCTCGTGCTCTCGGCTCACCCAAGGCGTTCAGATCTTCTCCAGGTTGCAACACTGAGATCGAATTCAGTGGGGTAGGAGTCGACAACTGTGACAACATTTCAGGATCTGCTGGCTTTAAAGAAGAAGGGTTTATGGTCTCCCCCCAGCTCGTGGAACTTGTAGAGCTGGTCCAGCCTGTCGACATGATTGATCAAAGACCTGCGCAACTGCATCTCGAAGGGGATGAGGGTCGGGTTGGTTCCCCACCAACCTGTGCTTGAGGTCCACCTCCTGCAGTTCCAGCGCAGCTTCCATATCCTGTTTTGGCCATCCTTGGCCACCCAACCTGCCGACACGGAGCGGGCTGGGTCCAAGCACCTTGACCTTCTTGAAGGGGTTCGTGAGCTGGCCTGTCTGGCGACGCCATCTGTTTGACCTGGCCATCGCCATATAGATCCAAAGTTGACCTATGGGCTTCGAGCTCACCCCCAACCTCTGCAACTGTAGTCGAAGTCGCTGCTCTGCTGCACGCCGCAGTGCACAGGGCCACAAGTGCGCAAAAGCAGCCTCACGCGTCTCTTCAACTGGAGCAGCTCACCCTCCACCCGGCCGCGTCATCCCCAGAGGTCATGGTGCACCATCTCCCAAGCCTGGCGCCCATCTTGCCACGGCCTTCGTCAGGAAGGACTTCTCCCGGTCGGAGTGCAACCTACATGGCCGCACGTAGCGGGCCTCCCGCTTCACGCACGCCCATCTCCCTCCCCAAACCTGAGGTTGATTGCCAGCCCAATCGCCTTGACCAGACCATCTGACCACCTCGCCCATGAGCGTGAAGACTTCCTCCTCTCTGGATTCCACCCACCACCGGCTCCACCGACCCTCCTCCCCTGAGACCATCCAGATAATCCTCAAGTCCTGGCTTTCTTCTACTGCGCTCCGTCCTCCCTTGGTTGAAGCTGATGAGGCTCATCCCCTGCTCCTGCGCAAATTTCTGCAACAACGGCCATTCGAAGAAGGAGGGATTCTCCTGTCCCCATAGGTAGCGGGGGCAGGGAGATGCCAGAGTCACGCACCCTCCTCGGTCCCGGTGGTCCTTTGCTCCTCAAGCGGCTGGTTGTGCGGCGAGGACCTCCGATGATCGCTTTCACTTTCCAGATCGGGCTAGCGAGCAGATGTATCTCCAAGTGTTCACATTGTGCAGGTTGAAGCCAGCTCCTAGTTCCTGATCAATGAACGACACCCAACCATAAGAATCCTTTAAGATAAAATCACTTGAAAATGATAAACCAAAATGGGTTTATTATTTTTAAAATTATATTGTTTTCTTTAAATTATGTTTTTGATAAACAAAATTTATCATCAAATAATAAAACTTTTGTTTCCAAAATTACAAAATTCCATTTCCCAAAAATAAAACAAAATTTATTATTGGAAACAAACGAATCTTGAGAGTGTATATAAGTTGTTGTTGTTGTTGTTGTTGTTGGTGGTGGTGGTGGTGGTGGTGCAGGTCGTGGTGGTGTTGGATAGTTACTGAGTGTTCTGAGAGTTACTGAGAGTGGTGAAGGTGGTGGTGGTGGTGGTGCAGGTGGTGGTGGTGTTGGAGGGTTCTGAGTGTTCTGAGAGTTACTCGAGTGGTTCAGGGTTCAATGATGCATGTGTACAGGTGCCTTATTGTGATCTGTGGTGCTGCCAATCCAATATTGAATGCAGCCAATCCAGTTTGAGTGTTTTCCTTCAGCTGAACACAACCGAACGATACCAAAGCTGCAGGGGAAGCATAGGGACCAACTTCATGGAATGGACGCTGTGTTTCCGGGCACTGTGGTGTGGTGAAATGAGTGATGGCGTACGACAGCTGTCTGTTCTGTAGCTGTGCCAATCTGTTTGTAGTTTGTAAATTGAACAGAACAGCATCGCAGAATGTTGCGCAAAAGAACGTGCAGGGTTCATTTGCACATATGATTTTTCGCTTTGCTTTGCAAGAATTTTGAGAGCTTTGCTTTGAGAGTTTTGAGAGCTTTGCTTTGAGAGAGTTTTGAGGGAATTTGCTTGGAGAGTTCCTTGGAGAGTTTGGAGAGCTTCCACAGAGTCGGCAGGCTTGATGTTCAGTAGGTTTGATTGACCCACACGCAGCAACTAGGGCTTCAAACTTGCAATTTTGTTCGTCGCAGTATCTGGGCCACAAGTGCCCAACTTCCCAACAGTGGTTGATTGAAAGCGTTGAGGGTTTTAGAGAGACCAAAGCACTACATAATCCAAAGATTTCAAGAACTAACCAGAAACCCTTGAACGCGTTGAGCACCACCTTTTGATTTAGAGAGACGCGAACAAAACGTCTCCGTATTCCATGGCTTTGAAAACCAAGCGCTCACGGTTGTCAGCTGATGGGAATGTTTTCATGGTCAACCTTCAAGAAGCATTAGAAAAGGGCATGGCAGAGACAGGAAGGAACCTACACCACATGGTTCAGCTGGCCAGAGAAGGGCAATGCAACTGGACCAGCACGCCGAAGACCGCGTTGGGAATACTTTCCAAGTACACTGTTGCGTTCCCGGAATTGCTGATCCTGTGCCCTAACACAGCGGTAAACAAGACCAAGATTGCGCAGGCAATCTATCAGTGCCATATAGATGGCGGTGAGGTGAGCAAGTTAGCCACCTTCAGCAAGGATGATGCTGACAAGGTTGGCGAGGTGATTCGGATTAATTACCCTGATCAAACTTCGCAAATGCAGCGCTGATGAGAAACAGCAACTAACTAAGATCGAGTGTTCTTCAGAGGTTTGAAATGTTTACATGTGCCTGAGAGTTTTGACATCGAGTTACGAGGGTTTTGTTTCTTGAGAGTTTATTTTTTCGTTGTTTTGAGAGTCTTCGAGGTCTCTTTGTGAGGAGAATTTGGAATCTAAGGTTCCAACGTACTTGCAGCATGGCCACTCAGCACGAAATCCAGATGCTCAGATCTTTGCTGGGAAGTGTTCATTACAATGACAGCCAAGCCTATCCTTTGCATGTGACCCCCACCTGCGCT